GAATGGATACAGTAAGAAAGATTTCAATAGAGCAATTCGACCAAAAAACAGTGAAGATCGCTCGGAGACAACAGAGACGCATGATGAGCGTAAGAATTGGGCTTGCCTCCCGTACATACATGGAGTCACGGACAGGATCGGCAAGATACTGGAGAAACAACAAGTAAAAACTCCGATCCGACATGAGCCTCTCGTAAGATGTGATGTCCCCAGTAATCAGTCTCATCATAAGTTGGTTGGCGAACGTCGTCAGTAATTTACAATTCCACCCCGGTCACGAGGATTGAATATGAAGCGGTGTATTGCTGGTGAGAGTTGGTTGGGCTTGTAATTCCGTTGTTTTGTTTCCTTCTGAATGTGGTGATTATTTTGTTGTCTATTAGTTTTTGCATTATCTTGCTTTATTATTATGTCCTTATTTCCTTGGTTGACCACCCATCTCAACGCAAGTAGTACACGGGTGGTGGACGAAAGAGTCGGTATTATTAAGCTGTGAGAGAATATCCCAAAGGTAGAGTTGGGTCTTTTTGGTGTTGTACTATTTGTTTGATTGCTTATTGTTTGCGTTTTTTTTATGTTGTTTAGAGGATTGGGGTTTGTCGCCTTGCAGATTGTTTCCGGAAAGGTAGGGATAGAGAATATCGGTGTTTCTTTCTTCTTTGCCTTTGGTTTTTGAAAACCATCGTCTATTGAAGGCATCTCTGACGCTGAGCCCTGAGAGTTCGCAAAACTCATGGTCGTCGTGGGGCTCTTAATAGCTGGTTTGCTATCGGGATGTTCCAAATTCTTGGAATTCCTTAAATGCTGAATAGTTTTTAAAGATTGAAAAAAATGCTGACTACGAAAGAACTCAACGCACTTAAACGCTCTTCGATCACAGTTTATTTTACGTTCGCCACAAATAGTGATCGCAATTTATTAATCACTGTGGCAAAACAATAGGTAGTAATTTGTTGCTCAACTTTACCTGATGGCCAACATTGAATTCTATCGATCGGCGACTTATCAATGGAAAATAGATGGTAAGAATAAAAGTAGGTGACGAGACATATTTTTACAAACAGTAGCCGCTACGGGTCGTACGACTGCATCTTGTAGACATTTCCTTTACTGTTATTACTATTCCGTATTCCCCTCATTAACGGTGTTGTCATGATGAATGTTTTATTATGTTTTCTTGCAATTACCACCCGCAATTATTTTTATTTTTTTAATTTAAAATTTCCACTCTGTTATTTTAATGACATTTACTTGTCGCTTATTTCAAACTAAACAAGTATAACACTAAATACCCTGATCGCTACCCTTTTCTTGATATTTTCTTGTTGATGCTACTCATATAAATGGTGTTCCAATAAGAACGACGGATTTAAATTTGAAATAAAACATATATATTTGTGGCCTAAATGTGAAACATTTATTGAAAAATTAAGTACACATCATGAGATTATGAATATAATAAGAAATCGATCAAAATTGTCAAGGAATGCTGCGCAGTGCAGTTTTTCAGAGGTACAACTTTGAATTTCATCTTTTAAAGCTTGAATCGTTGTTTGTTTGTCCACATAAACTGATGACTTAAAAAAAACCAAACAAAAAAATCCAAAGGCGTTAAATCGCATGATCTGGGCGGTCAGTGCCGATCTCTAAAACAAGAAATARCAAGATCAGGAAATGACTCGTGTTTTTYACAGTTTTGCACAATTCAACAGTTTCTCTGACTATATCGCATGTTGCACCGTCCTGTTKAGATCCATATTTATATCYGACTCACGAAGATARGTTAGTACAGTTTTTGATCTTGAACAACGTKAACATGTTTACTATGAATTATTCTCCTTTGTTCTTTAATATCACTGTTTTTTACARCATTGCACATATACRACTYATATCGAAATTTCMGGGATGAAGGAAGTTTTGAGTTTGGAAAATAAAATGCGACTAAAAATTAAATATATTTATTTGCTACTGGCTCAAAAACATCTAATAAAAGTAGTCAAAAACATTTATATGTTTATTAATAACTGTAACAATAGAAACAACATATCTTGCTAAATAGACACTTTCTATCGTTGCATAGAAAGTTGTGAATATGACTCCGCTTGATTATTATTACTGCCTTGACGTTACTTTAATTTACTACTTAACATAAATTATTCCATTCATGTGGTTTTCATTTCTTGTTTCACACAAGTTTTAAAGGCTTGCCACCCTTCGTTCTTTGCATACGACTAAAAAATAATAAAAATGATATAAATATTTCGAGTTTACAAACATTATTTTATATCGTATTATTAAAATAAATTACTTTCATAAACAGCATGACAAGCTTTTAATTTGAAAATTGTTATAATTGTAAAATATAAATTCAATAATTTCCTGTAAGAGTGCAAGTTTCAAAATTCGCCAATGTCAGGCACCCCCAGGACCGATTTCGGGCATATTAGCTCTCATCAGCTGGGTTTGGCCCGAAAATTAGCGACCGTGAAACCTGCAATGTTTTTCGGATTCATTCAATTCAACAAATTCAAATAAAAACATCGGACGTTATYGACGAAATTCTTGTCTTGGGTAATTCTTSYCYTGKGCAACAGGGTGCGTTGCAACAAGTTGGAGCGTGGCTGTGCCTCTGGCGATTAWACCTGTGGTATCAACWGGAGCGACAGATGGCGACGTCGAATAGTTYCCTCCCTTCGMGTTTAAATTGCAAAATATTTTGAATTKATTATTTATATTAGTCGATATGGTATTGTTTCGAATACGCTAATACAAAGAGTAGAGTCTCTGACTTGCTTTCAAGTGATCGTCACGTGCAATTCCCAATTCCACAGTTACACCCAGGCCATCAACCAGACCATCAACAACTAGCACATATCCTACAGGCAATGCGGATAGAAATGTTTATTTGATCAGTTTCCCCGAAGATTTTGACTGTCATGGTTGTGTCGTAGTAGAGAACGTTGATCAGTTGCAAGAGATTCCGTATCGATTGTCGATGTATACAGCTGATCAACGCTCTCTATCACGACGCAACCATGACACTTACACAACATAAACAAGATATGATTAATATGAGCAAAAAATCACGTGATTATAACTCTTCTTTACTAGTATTTTGATGACGTGATGAAAATGTAATTATTTGGTCGACTGGCGCTCCCTACGAAAAAGCGCTAAATAATGACAGGCATGCAATTCATTTTCTGTAAATTTAATTGTACGCAAATCCGGAAAATTGTAAAAATACACAAGTAACACAAATGCAAATAAACTAGCTAGTTTTTTTGTTTTGAGTCGGATTTCCGTCAAAAGTAGACGACTACATACCCTAAATCCTCGATGCAATCGATCCTTCATAATGGCAATAAATTCACGGTAACTCAGGAGACCATCGCCATCTGCGTCGAATATGGCAAAGACAGTATGGACCAAATGAGGCGTCAGACTTGTTCCAGTGCAAATTTTAACAGCTCGATGAAACTCATCTGAAATTTATAATAAATGCATTATTTACTAGATTAGTTTAAAATAGAAAACAGACATATACATGTTCAAGTGCACTCTTCACTTTATCACTCACTCATCGTGTATGCATGACACGCGTCATGCTTTTTCCTAGCCGTCATTTCAGTATATTCACGAGCATRAAAATTATATGTATACAGGGTGATTSAATAGTGAATGTCAATAAATGAAAGGGAAAGTGGCAATTAAATATTTCGAGGTTAGGATAACGTTGTCACTTTGCCGTCAGTGCTGCCAACCTGTTTGGGGCAGARKAGTGATATACCTGAATCCGCCAAAGTTKAGAAAAACTTTAATCGGAACAGAGCKACACCATAAASAACAACTACAWCAACAAGTAAAATGCAATTAAGCTGKTAAATCACATGAACTGTTCGAAGTTCCGCCCGTTTAACTTCAAACATGTTTGTGTCCCATCACTTTATTGTGCACTCTTSGCAGCAGTCTGTATTCGASATTATMAGMAGWTTCTTGTATTCAGTTRRTTAGCTMSTRCTCAATTTTTACCGGTGTTGAGTAAACCAGAGATTGCAKCTGTCWAWTTGTCCCRWGTCTCTTACATAYKTGCTAGGAATAACACAGGGTGTAATSCTTCCTCGCTATTTATTTGKTGMCWAAGARAKTGTSARTKGTTGYGMAATAACGCTGACCATAATGGAAAGYTGCKCYTTKWAKRCTCAGYTGCAATYWTCTTYAAWACCWGTTCCTSTARGTCTGGAGCCCAAGCACCTTTARWTCGTCTACTAKCTGCGTCAATTACTGGAACTTCTCACAGCATCTCCTATGTTTCWGTKGMAWTCCCSMATAAGCTRTRRCAYATCCGAAGATTCGATGTTGGTSTACTACTAKTTTRYRAAAGAAGCTTCAAARYAAGTYRCAAYTTRWCAAAWGMTTGWTAKWSTTSGCAAAAGATTTGAAWGGYSTGAAATRTAAARAGTTCGCTTTTTATACCAGTTGAATCTTCYTTRAAACMATGTAATGGGWAATTGATTCGRKYTTTTWGGCMSWCSTTGCRGTWRAAACCCGAATTGTGAMACMCAGGGTGCTTAGTTTGCAAAAGAAGAAAATAAGTTGAACTTATTTTAGTTATTTACTTGTGGAGTAATATGATATAACGACAAACCTGTAAAAATTGAGTTATTGGGAACATGCATAGCTGAAATAGATGAAGTTACTCTGGAAATCTGGTTGTTTTGCTATTCGATAGTTCCCTTTTCTATGAAGAAATTTAGAAGTTCTCTGATGCGAAATCCATTACCATTTTGAAAGTGTCTAGATCTAGTAAAATTTTAAAAAATTGCTATTTCTATCAGACTATGAAGGCTTTCACGGCCGGTCAAATCACATTAAGAATTTTTTTTCGGGCTTTGAAGCCGTGGTCCATGGGAATTTCTTCCTGACGTTTCGATGAGGCAGTGGGCGAAGTGATCTCTCGTGCTTTCCTGTCGTCTTTATGCGGCGCGGCCGTGTCAGCTCATGCGTGAGGAGTGGGCAGGGGCTTCAATTGTTTTGGCGCACACGCTGTTTACCGCAAAACGCGTTTCCAATCTGGATTATGGGCCGTTACTTCTTCTTTCCTGTTAAAATTGTTGTAATGTTTGAAGATCTCAATGGCCTCTCTGGTTAGTCTCGGGTAATACCATTGAGATTGGTGCAAAATGTCCACTTTATTGAAACGTATTTGGTGGCCGTCAAGAAGTCCGGGCTCTGCTACTGCTGATTTTTCTGTTTGTCCTAATCTGCAACTTCTTTTATGCTCAGTGATCGTAGTGTTTACACTACGTTCTGTGGTGCCGATATATGATTTGCCATAACATGTAGACTCCTGGTGCTGATAAAGGATCCCGTTTGATGATTTGCGATTGATATCTTTAAACATTACAACAATTTTAATACATTATTACAATTAATAACAAGTTGATTGCCTTAATAATAAATATAAATTTATAAATTTCTTTCACGTAGTGCCATTTGGCGGTAATGCCAAGGCGTTCAGAATTTCTATGACGCTGCAAAGCTGATAATTTATTGGTAATCGGCATAAACAAATTACTATGTGATATTACACAAATCTTGATTTTTATAAGGTTGTAGATGTATTAGTTGCTAGAATACTGTCTTTATAAGCAAGAAAAAATTTTGACTGTCAATAATCGGTTTATCAGTGATGTGATATCCGGGGTGTGACAATTCAGCACTTTTCCATGATTGACATTGGGGATAGAAGACTGCCGCTTGTCTTTATCTATGTTGATCTATGGTTACGTGCACCACGTGTTTTTTGAAAACTATATTTGCAATTCATGTTAATCGTAGCTACAAATAGATATGAGTCCAAATAAAATAACGTGTTGTGTGCCTAAATGCTATAATGTGTCTTCAAGACGGTAACTACGTTATAATTTTGACTAAGAAAATATGTTTTTTATTGTTCACATTTAAATAGAGTTAACGTTATTCAAACGCTATATTTTCTAAACTAAACAAAATAGTTTGATTCTGAGTCAGACTTTTTGTTATGCATGGTTGCGCTGAATTAAATGATGAAAGTTATACATTTTCAGATATAGTTTGCCTAAAAGTGAAGATGTCAGGGATATTTGGATCCGCCGTATCAAAAATGAACATCTCATTGGAATCATAAATTCTAAAGGTCCCGCACTTAGGAACTATGGACACTATATGGTTTGTGCTCGACATTTCAATGGGATGTGTTCCCGTCCGGGCGGAAAATTTATATTACGTTCTTTACCAACTAAATAACTTCCAGGTATATACTTGAATAATATGCACTGGCTTATTACTTTATAAGTGTAATTCAAACCTTAAACTTTCCTATACTTACATATATACATTTATTATTATATGCATGTTCTTATGTACATTCCGTAGGTTTTAAAGATGACAATTCAAGAGACTCCAGCTTTCTTAAAAAACTATTACCTGTTCAGGTATTTAAAACCCTTACAAAAATAAAAGGTATGTTGGCGTTTAAATTAAATACATTTGATTATTTTATGATTTCATGTTCTATACATACAGATGATGTCGCTGTTGTAAACACAGCTGCTACAACATCTACACTTACCGAAACTAGACCGATAGAGTCAGTGCTAGTTCCGGCAAAAATATATTCGGGCAGAAAACGTCCGCTGGAGCCTCAAAAATTGCAAATGCCTGAAGATCCCGCAGATGCAGATGCGGGTCCATCACATGTGGATTTAAATGCCGCGTTAACTAGTGTCGCGGCCGATCGTAAGTACTGTTATACATAATTGTATACATACTATTTGGAATTATGCTGTATACATATTGTTTTTTTTTTGGAAGTTAGGAGAGTGAATTTGAAGACGATAGGATTTACGCGAATAAAACAACTTTCCCCTCRTAGCAAAATTMTTTACAAGCGTTTTAAAAAGCTCAAAAGGATTTTACATAAGAGGCAAATAAGGTCTCATAAGAGGTTGTCTGAAGCTAAATTTCTTAGTTCCAAGACTTCCATTCTCCGATATTTAAAAAATGTAATTGACTTTACAAGAGATTTTGTTTTATCGCAAAATATAAATCAAAAGCGAAAAAGCCGAGGAAGGAGATTTACACTCGACGATAAAATTTTCGCGCTTTAAATTTACAAGCAAAATGGAAAAGGATACAGGTTTTTGTCAAAAATGTTTGGTTTACCGTCACGTAAAACTCTTGGAAAGGTTTTGCGTAAAATTCCTTTTCATTCCGGCATCAGTCTTCATACTTTTAATCATTTAAAAGAACGAGTAAATAAACTAACAGTTTTAGACCGAAATTGTATTCTTATGTTCGACAAAATTGCTTTGCAACTTGGCCTTCAATACAACCACAAACTAAACTGTGTAGATGGTTTTATAGATTTAATTGTCAATTTAATTAAGTCTGTAGTTAGAAACGTTCGCGAAACAGGTTTGACAATTGTGGCAACTGTTTCCGATCAAGGGGCAACTAATGCATCTGCAATTAGGTCTTTGATCAACGACACCCAGTCCTATTGTATAAGAAAGGGGGTAAAGAATAGGTATCAAGGGTATCTCGTCGATGAAATGGAGATCGTGCATTTATAGGATGTGCCACATTTACCTAAGGGCATCAGAAATGGTTTATTAAAGTCCGATCTCCACTTTATTGAAGATGGTGTACAAAAACTTGCATCTTGGAACCATCTCATCACTCTGTATGAGTTAGATAGGAAAATGGGCCGATTTTCTCAACATATCAAATTAACTGATGAGCATATGTTGCCAAAAAGAAATTTAAAAAATGCGTGTTAAAAATTGCACGCAAGTGGTCAGCAGAAGTGTGGCCACTGCTATAAAGATAAAAGCTTCAACCAGCATTGATTTCGATCCTTCTCATGCTCAGTATTTAGATCCCAAAGCGTCAGAAACTGCAGACCTATTTTTATTCTTGGATGAGTTGTTTGACTCCTTAAATGGGAGCCAAACTTCAATTGTTCCTCGCAAAGAAATGCGGAGCGTGGTGACACAAAAGTCCAAACATGTTCAATTTTGGATCTCAATTGCTCTCCCGTTATTAAAGTCAATGTCTTTCGCGAAATCAAATGTAACTCCCTCATCAAAAATTTAATTTTTACGGTCAATGGCTTCTTATCTATCTGCAATGATCTGAAGGTGAAAAAATTCATTTATATGGCTCCTAGATCTTTCAATCAAGATCCAGTAGAGCACTTTCTCAGTTGTATGGTTTCAGAAACACCAGACCTAATTGTTCTTTTTCTATGTCATCGACTAAAGCTCTGGTTATACTGATGATTTGTGTCATCACACTCTGTAGGGGCTAATTGTAAACCGGACGAATCCAATGGTGTTTTGGGAAATTTAAAATATTTTGCAACAATTCACTTGATTTTGCAACACCATATGTTGCTGGTGTCGTGGGAAAGAAAGTTTTATCGCAAGTGCACTGCCAAAGCTGCTTAAAACAAATGGAGTCATTGGGAGCTGATCCTCATAACTTACTTATTCAACATCGGGAGTATSTGAAAGATGAACGACGTCTGTTCCATCCATCTAMGCAATTTTTTAAAGCCTTTAKACATATAGCTAATATTATTTTCTTCCTAATACCTAAATATATAACGGGTTTCGCAATTAAGAAGAGAATAATGGAAACTTWATGCACAGAAGAGGACATTGCTTATGTTTTTTGTGAAAAACACAAAAACAATTCCTTGTTGATGTACAAAGTGTGCATAACTGTTGTCCTTTTTAGAAGTACACAGTAGAATAATCTGTGAAGATGGACGAAAGTACTCGTCTATCAATGTAAAACTGTTAACTGTATTTTGTTATCTAAGTTTTGACCAATATTAAAATTTTTAATTGCTTATAGAATTTTTGTTATGAGCTTATTGCAAAACACTTTAATTGGGATTAATAATAGTTAATGTTCAACCTGATGTATTTATATATAAATGTGTCTGATTGGATAAGCATATTAATAAGAAACATTTGTAGAAACCGAGAAGTAGAAATCTATACCAATCCAGAAATGGAAACTACAGGTTCCTGTATTCACAGCTGATTTGTCGGTTTGAGGGGAATATTTWGCACTCTCCAACAGAATAGATGGCGCTGATGCATCTCTGTCCCGTGCCTAGTAAAGGAGGGAGGGCTATCTATATCAGTCTTTATCTATGAACCAGTCTTAGTCGGAAAGCAAAGGAGGTCACTTCGCTCACTGCCTCATCGCCTTTGATAATGTCCACATGTCCACCGCAGTTGTGGACGAAACGTCAGAACGAAATTSCCAATAGACCACGGCTTCAAAGCCCGAAAAACATTTCTATATGTGATTCATATTTATTTTTCAATGTTATGTTATGTTATGTTATAGTAATGTTAAAGCCAACCTGTCTTCTGGTTTGAGACAGTTATTTATAAGAAAATTAAAATAGTTCTCTTCAGGACGACGTTGGAATATAGTTTATGCGCCTCATGTTTTTTTTCTGAACTTGTTTTGAAAGGAATTTTTCTTCATTTTCCTCCACTTCTATCAAAATAAGGGTTAGGCGCTCGACGTCGTCCATCGTTTCAACGGTTTTTCTCAAAACTTCTTCACGAATTGAACTAATCTGTTACGGCTATAAAGGGAACATCCAAACAACGCTACAACGGCACGCGCGGCTACGGCCTAACGCAGCACCGAGTTGCAGTCGCCAATCGCCCCTCCGATATCACACCTTAACGTCACTCTGATAATTGCAGCGCACTTTCACCTTAGAGTTAGAGCAAAGAAAAACTGTTCACTTAGTTTGTAACGCCGGTGCTTCTCTGGTGCCCACACTGCCCTCTTTTAAGAATTTGCGATGCGAAATTCGGCTGTTAACAGAACCACGTAACCGACATAACTAAGAATTTTGCAGTAAATAAGCATCTTCAAAAACTTGTTATCCGAAATCAGTCATCTTGAATGAGGTTAAATGCTTAGCGACAAGTGTTATTCAAGGTGCGGCGCAGTGAGACGCGATGAGTTATAACTCATTAACGCAGAGACAGGCATCAATGCAAAAGCACACAAATGCGGTGGAATTCAAAAACTACTTCTTTTTGGACACCCTGTATATTCTATGCAATAGTTTCCTAATTAACAAGACTGTACAAGTCCTCACAAAGACATCAATAATAAAAATGTGTATCCTGAATTTATTATTGACTTGAAAACATTCACTCGACTGCTGTCGTAAATGCCACTTACCTTTAGAAATAGGGTGATCGGCTAGGGTATACATGCGCATTGCAATACTGAAATCCTCCAGATTGTTTAGGAACTGACAGAAGACATTAAATTCTTCGAAAGTAATTCCCTGTGAATCTTTTATCCGGTCTAATAATCTGTCCAGATACATGTCATATTCGTCAGTATCTAAGTAGGTATATCTTAATAAAATTTTTGCAAAATCTAGTTCCGATATGGTGGGCAATCCTCTGGCAAACTCACTGAACTCCAATTCCAAAACTTCAGTTTGTAAGTGCAGCATGAACTTTTTGAAACTGTCGAAGTTTAAATCCGCATTTCCCTTTAGGCCAAAAAAGTGAACGAGAAGAGTTGTGTCGACTACATGTTTCCTTTGCAGGCCTTACTCATCATTCACATACTGTTCTGGTATTGGAATAATTTCCGTTGATTCCGTTTCGGTTATTAATCCTCTTTTTCCTTTCCATGCGGTGCTAAATATTTTTTCCATCTAAATTAAAAACAATTAGTTCAAGTAATAAATTAATCCAGATTGAAATTGTAAAATGTTATTTTATTAATGGAAATTATAGATGATTAGTGTAAACATTTTTAGTATTTGAAATCGCCTGTGATAAAACTGTATTCGAACTTTGGCTTTCCCCAGTAGTATATTCAGCTAGTTTAAAGTTTCGTTGAAGCTATACAAGCTTTTGATGTAGCTACGCTACGATATCTTTATTAGAGAGTTTTTAGGCCCCTTAAAATTACGTTGGCCTTAAACGCTAAACGTTATTGTGAGCACGCGCAGTGTTAAAAAATAAGGTGCTCAAGCAAATAACGTTAAGTGCGTTTTTTAGTTTTTGATACCGCGTTTGTTGCACTCTTAATAAAATAAACCTCACTTTATTGTTTTCTTTTCCCGTTTTGTTTGTAAAAGTTTCAAATCTAGTTTAGTTTGTATTGTTATTAAACAAAATGTGGCTAAGATGAAAGAAAACGTTGAAGCTGCCTTTCTGCACTAAAATGACCAGGAAGATGTGGATCACGATTTAATAAGAGGCTTAATTTTACACGACATCTTTAACCCACCTGTTGTTGCAAACCGAAGAGCTATTTTTATTTTAGAAAATATTGTGGCCCAGATATTGCCTTATCAAGTTTAGGTTTCAGAAGGAACATATTCCGAACATATTAAACAAAAATTCAAAATCAAATAGCTAGGTCATGGGTCAGAAGTTAGAACCTGTCTGTGCGATGTTAGTAGTATTGCCAAAGTTCAAACTTACTCAAACGATTTTCACATAAAATCCGTAATTACCAAATAATGGAGTACATTACTCAATGAAAAAGCATTATTCAAATTTACAATACATTTCTTATTCTATTACAGCCGCTTATTTTATTAATAATACTAGAAATAAGTCAAATATGTCAACACCTTCGATCTGCTTTTTAACGTGATGCTTATTAACGTTACCGCTACTCGTACGTAAATAGAGGAACACGTTATCCACTAATAATGTAAACGGTTATTTCTTTACTAATGCTCATGCTCAGAATAACGGACAAGGTAAAATGTGTTGCAATTAAGGGGCCTAAAAACTCCCTATTAACCAAACATTACAAAGAAGTTATTGGAAAACCCACTTAAACTTACGACTTTTCTAATTTGAAATCGTGCTGGACGTACACTAAAAGTAACTCTTAAGCAAACTAAACAGTAATAACTTTACATCCGTCATTAAATTGCATGGTGGTCAAAAAATGCAATTAAATCAATTACATTAAAATATAAAGGAAGCTAATCATTCATTCCTAACAATCCCTTAACATTTAATGTGAGAATGCATTTGTCTCATCGTTAAACATACGCCTTGTTAATATTCATCTTAATGGATTTATTGAACGTCCAAAAGCTTATTTGATTATTTTCTGACCAAAGAGTTGTAATTAAATATGAAGTAATGGTGGAGTGGTTACAGTGGTGTGGCGGTACCAATGAACCAGGGATGACACGAAATACTGGTCACAGGTATTTTGGAACAGATAACAACAGTCGATACCTGTTCTCGATATTTAAAATAACACGTGATTTGAAATAACAGGGCTCGCCTACCATGCTGGTCAGTACCAGTACAACATCTGGGATTTCGATATTTCAACAAAGCAAAAAGGCAAATACGTGTCTGTTGATTCCCCGCGGCGTAGTCAATTGGCCTGAGTATTTTGCCTGGGTGAAGGAGATATTTTATTCTCATGAAGTGGTAAGGTACAGCAGTAACAGCCGTCTCCAATATTTTCTTTAATGTGACCAGGCCTGTGAGTCACATACTGTGACTGACTGACTGACTGTTTTTTCGGAATTCTGAGCTGTTCCTTGTCCTTGGAACTTGTTCTTTTTTGACCAATAGCAGTTCTTTAGAAATAAAATAGCATTTGTTGGATCTGCTCATTGGAGTAGTGGACGAACTGTATTTAAATTTGTATAGGCGGTATTTACCTAGTCTGGACATGTTTCAACATTTGTTTATATCAAACATAGCTGAAGTATTAAATGGCAAATTTTCAATTAAGCGATAAGATGAATTGTAATCAGTGATTAGCATGAAAATAGAAAATTTTTCACATTTTACTGCCCTTAAGCGGGAAAGATAAAAAATGTGGTCACCTTTTTTGGTGTTCAAATAAAGTTTCGATAAAATGGTAAAACGTTACTTTTTTTGACCATCAGCCCTTGCATACATAAAGGAAGAAAAGGCATTAGGTCTTCGGTCATAATTTATCGCTGACCCATCGGATTCGCACCCAAATTACTAGGAAGTGGGGTGGATATCCTTCAATGGAACAATTAGTGCAGTCGGGTGAGATAAGATTTTTCCGGGCACTAAATAGATGAAAGTAATTTTTTTTTTATTTTTTATAATTAGTTTGGTTTTGCTTCAAAAAATCTCACTACAACTTATTTTGAAGGTATTTGTATACTTTATAAGTGGTATAAATTTTAGTTTCAAATATTCATAACTTTTTATACATTCCTATTTGTTATGTAAAAAGGACTTGCCAGATTCTAAATACATTTTTCTTGAGACGTCGGAGAGACTTGACTGATGCTGTATTTTACTCGTAAATAGTTATACTACAACGTACAATAAATGAAAATTTTATTACTAACTGACCAAAAAAAGTTACATAGTGGTACCATTTTCTTAAAACAAAACTAAATTAATTATTGAAAATTAACAAAACGCTGAAATCGACGGTTTTTTTTTAAATTTCTGACTAAAGAAATGAAGAGATTTTAATGCAGTTTATCTGTTATCATAGGTATTTTTAATACTTGAAAAAAAGGATAAAACGTTTTTTCAATAGCATCAACGGTTCAACAGTTATGCACAAAAACGGGCTTTCGCACTTTCTTTAATTATTTATAAACAATGTTCCACAGCCGGAAATCGAGCACAAACTCTTGTCTCAATATTCTGACAATCTTCCGAACAACTTCCAATAATCTTTTACCATCATATTTTTAGTGCCCGAAACAGGCCTTTTAAAGTCTAATCCGACTGGACTCAAAATACGCTTCAGCCCGAGGTACAAACCAATATTTATCATGGGCCAAAACAACATGTGACAAAAAATCACAGATACTTGGAACAGGTACGAGCTTGGAACAGTCACACATGGAACCTGTGACTGAAAAAATACTGGTTTGTGTCATCTCTACAATAAACTGTATACTAAAGTTCCTGGAACGGCCCCGGCCGTTGTTGAATACCGGAGATTTTGTGTCAGGGGCAACAGAGAGAGATAGCCTAATGAGACGGTAACTTGTCTCTGTCAGACTCGTTTGGTTTTACCTGGTAAAACTGCCTAAGTTATTATTTTGTAATATTTTATATGATTTGCGAGTGTTGTAAATTCAAACAAAAAAGATTTCAACAACAGTATATGTTAGCGTGTCGAAGTGTTAATATTGTTTTCTGCTATTTTAAAACTGAGTGTGTGAAAAAGGCAAAATTGCGTTAGTCTGTTTTATTTGCTTCCATAATGGTGATCTCTTGTGTTGCTTATGGATATAATAACGACCAGGATTCAACGAAAATTCCGTCTCATATGTAAGTTTTAAGGTCGTAAAGTAAATCATAGTCACATTTTATTTTATGTTTTTTTTATTGTTGTAGTTTTCCATTTAAACGTCCTGCAATACAAAAGTTATGGATGCCGGCACTTCGTAGGGATAGTTGGCGTCACCTTATTGATCAAAGCACATGTCATGACTGCATAGACACTTTATTAAAAAGAGATAATGGTATTTGTCATGACCATATGTACAGCGCACCCCCCAAGACCTTTAAAAAATGTTTAAATTTTGTATCTCGTGGAGGTCTTCTTTATGCATCTCATACTGTGTATAAAATTCTACATTTCGCAGGAAGGCAATTCCGCTATATGTTAGAAAAGAACGAAATTCCAAAGAGTCCAATAAATGTAAAGAAGAAAATTGTTAATATGGCTATTCAATACTTTGCCCTAAACATTAATATATTCAAACCCAACCACCCTGTATCTCAAGAATTTATGAGTGAGGAGTGCCACGAGATTCAGCGAAATTCATCCGAAAAATTCTGGATATTTTTATAAAATGTCTAATGCACCACCACTCTTCACTTCTTAATATGAAGTTGCATGGAAATGCTGCAGCAGTAAGGTAAAAAATGACAAACCTCATACTATTTAATAATTGTTAAAACCTAAATAAAAAAGTGTAAGTTTAGAAGTTTTTTGTTAAATTGTATATTTTTTATATATAAGGTATACAGTTCATTGGCCGGTGCACGCATCCGACTTGATTTTTTTTTTCACGCAGCTATACGGTGGCCACCTCGTGGAAAGCAATGGAAAACTACCACAAGTGTTCTGCCGAAGAAAACCTCTCAACTATTGCCGTTCGCAACGCCGATAAACTGAAGGTCCCGTATAATTGTGGATAGGGCGTTCCACAAGCACGCGCGAGAGGTTCCCTACGCTCTCAGATAAATTCGTTAAGATATATTTTTCAAAAGTAAACGCTTGCACCCGTTAATTTAAATTATTTAGTTTTGATATCAACTGAAAGCATAGGTACAGCGTGGTTCAAAAAAGTTACAATTGATATTAATTGATTATATTTTTAAATAAAACCACTGTATATTATGACAACCATCCATGGAAAACTTACTAACAATTGAGACATTTGTGCATTAGTGGACTTTCTAGGTGTGAATTTAAGTTATATTCTTCCACAGCGAGAAGGAACTCTGCCAATGGAGGGAATTGAGTGGATTAAGTAGTTTAGGAACCATCACTGCCGGTCCCAAGCCCGGATGAAGGAGGAGGGTTTAGAGAGGGGCCAACAACCCTTTCTCAAAAAAAAACTCCCCGTGATGACAACTGGAAAACAGCCCCCGAATAAGACAGAATGTCGGAAACTATGGAAACTATTGTTAAGAGAGCAGGTAGAAAAAGTCTCGGTTTTGGTGACTCTTGACAGTTTAGAGAAGTTTTCAGTTTGATTTAACAAAAAGACGAGTTGTAAGTTGTAACGAACCAAATCTGTTTAAAATAAATTGATCAGTATTGGAAAAGCCCGGAACCAGTTTCTTTGGAAATAGAACCGTCGTAGCGCAAATATCGGGTAGCCTTTTGTGAGCGCGACACAGAACATAGACGCTCCAAGCAACGAAAATAAAATATGAATATAGGAATATGGAATATATTGAGCTAGTATAGACCTTGCGCAGCCCTACACACTGTAGAGCAACTAGAAAAGCAAAAAATCATTGCAGCTATACAGATAGTAAGGTGGCCGCAATCTGGAAGTGTAGTTAGCAGGTCTATAGTCTAATTCAGAGGCAGCCAACAAAACAGGCATGAATTCGGCGGAGGATTTGTGTAGTGGCAGGCCGTCTCGCCGATTCTCTCATGGCATTTAAGCTAATGAGTGAACGCATTTGCTACATCCGTATTAAAGGCAATTGGTACAAGCATAGACAGGATGATTCAAAATTGGCATCATTCCTTTAAATAGGCTCTCTTACAGAGTACAAGAAAAATACTGGAAAACATTTCTAGAAGACATAGCCAGTTGAAGATTGATTTTCAACTTTGTTATTAAGTATTAGTTTGAAATAGGTTTGATTAGTAGCCTATTAGAATACATAACCGTTCGAAAAGGGAAATTACAATATTTGGATAGATAGTGGACTACAGATAGTGGACGATCTCCGACCTAGAGAAACAGTTATTGGACATAATTGCAGCTGACCCTTCCAGGAGTAGTCCAAGCATTGCACAACAACTGCACTTTCTCAAACATCGGATAATTATCACGATAATTCTACCGTGGAAGGCCTACCTTCCTATAATTTACGAGACATGATTTATGTCCCATATTAAAGTTGGGTACTGCCAGAAATTTTCAAAGAAATTCGAGAGAGACTTCTACGGACTTCAGAAGCAGATGTAATGATTTATAAGGAGCCAAAAGAAAGAAACAAGTGAACCCGTTAATCACATAACCAGGTAAGGAAAGCTGAACCTACATGTGACATGACATGATGTTTACCGCAGACATAGCCAATTAGGGTTTTTTGTCTTTAATGGTAGCCTGCAAGAGCCTTGGTGGGTTTAGGGCGGGGGTTTTGGTGGTTTCGGGCTGAGAGCGAACGAAAAAAGAAAAAAAGTAGGGGCACGGAGCGCAAAAAGTAGTGGTTTGCGGCGGTTGGCCTAGAGGGTTAAATTTGGAAGAGTTTGAGAGTTTAGGGAAAGCTGAACCTGCTACTTACAAGATCTATATAAGGGGGTGGAAGCAGCAGCATCACAAGCCCCGCCCATTAGTAGGCAATAAGAAAAGCACTAAATAAACTCAAAAATAGTAAAATTCCGAATCAAGATGACGTCACTAACAAACTCCTCAAGTATGGTGGCCAACGAAACGTTTTTGACTTGACATTTCTAAGGCAACAAATATTTGAACATCAAAAAATTTCCGATAAATGGAGAACAAGTACGACAATCCTGCTTTATAAGAAGGGCGATAAAAAGGAGCCTGCGAACGAACTACAGAGAAATAATTTTACTGTCGTCCACTAAAGCGATGACGAATGTAATAAACGAACGAAATACATTATGTGATGCAGAACAAGGGTTTAGATATGGACGATCAAATCTGGAGCAAAAACGAGCATGACCACATCTAAAACACCTTTAGCTGTAAATTAGTGGTGGATGACAAGACAGTACATCAAATGATGAAATCAGATACTTGGAAATCGACATTTCAAGCTTCGGCCACATAGAACCAGAAGTAAGAGCACAGCTATCCAAGCGACAAGAACGGCTGCAGTAATTACCGACACAATATTTCGTAACAAGCATCTAAAAACAGAAGTAAAAACAGGTATTTACAAAACTGTGATTATACCCATATTGACATATGCGGCAGAAACAAGGCAAATTATGGAAACAACAGAGATGAAGATAGTTCGAAGAATAGCTGGAAAAACTCTGTGGGACAAGAAAAGAATCGCGGATATCAGACAAGCATGCCAGTTCGAGAATGTCAACGACTGGGTGCTGAGCATAAAAATTGAATGGAATGGCCATAGTCAGAGGAACGAATAGGAGGCGAAGCACAGGAATGGAGCTACCTCTATATAGCGAGTTTCGATGAAGAACAGGCATTGTGCTTAAATGGAAGAAACAAGAAGAAGAGAAGGAGCCCAGATCGCTGCGAAGAGTGCACAATAAATTGAATACCCTGGCAGAAACATGTTTGGGGCTAAACCGACAAAACTTCGTGAACTACTTGTGATTTAACAACTTAATTGTATTTCATTTGTTATTGTTATTGTTTGTGGTGTTGTGGCTCGGTTCGAATTGAGGTTTTTGTTGACAGCTGTGAGAGTTTTAGGTGTACAACTCCTTTTCCCCGAAAAAGTGGCAGCAGTGACGGCAAAGTGACAACATTATTCTAACCTCAAAGCATATTATTATCACTTTTACTTTATTTGTTTTTTGTTTACCCATGAATACTACAGTTGTTATAGTTGCAGTTGTTCCCATCCTTCTCATCTAGTTTTTTGCAAAAATCTCAGTTTTTAATAACAATTGAATTTTGTTACTATGTTTCCTGTACTTGTAAAACACCCACAGACAACACCCCCTGAGGAAAGACGCCAATTTTGAATCACCCTGTAGAGACCAGGTCCTGATGGAACTAGAAAAACACAAAATCGACGGAAGTAGTCACAAATGTGTACAATAGTTGATCTCAACTTTAGGAAATACGCCCATTGCTAGTGTGATGAAGAGGTTTAACAATGGCATTGTGAACGACAACGGAGGAATACTAATGCTATTGTGGGCACAAAATAAACTTTTCATTCGTAGCACAAGCGGAACCAAAAATACACCTTTGGCAATCCAAGAAATAAAAACTCTTCGATTGATTTTATTATTTCTAACAGATGAGTTAGTCAAATCCTGGATGTAAGCATACTAGCATCTGCAAACGACCGAACAGAACATGGGCTACAGTAGGCCCGGGTAACACTGTGTTGAGTTGCGCTAATGAGTTATAACTTATCGCGTCTCACTGCATCGCACTTTGAGTCACACTTAGTATTTAACCTAGAGGGATTAACACCTAGGAAAAAAAATTTAGGCAATGTTTTACCAAGTAAGTAGGGACACTGTGTTGAGTTGGGCTTTTGAATGGAAGGCGATCTGTGCGCTTCTTCTTCTGGTACCGTCTGCTACTGAAGGTTGGCGATCATTCTGGCTGTCTATATTTTGGAGACCGCTGCGTGAAATAAAGATTTGGTACTTCTTCCTTACCACTCTCTCAACTTTTTAAGCCACGATGTCCGACTTCGTCCCGGTGCTCGTCGCCCATCAATTTTTTTCTGTATTATTAGTTGAAGGAAGCAGTGTTTCTCGCCCATAACATGTTCAAGATATTCTAGTTTTCGTCGCTTCACAGTGTTTAAGATCTCGGTGGTTGTATTTAGAAGTAACAAGACATCCGTACGGTGACATCCGTACGGACACACACAGCGGCATCGACAGAAAAGTATTTAAAGACACAGTGTTACCCAGGGCTGGGGTATTTCTTAAGCCATTGCTGCTCTCATAGACTGTTTAATTTGAGACCTGAACATACCCTTAATGCTGAATACTTCGAATATTTTTCACGCTGAGTGTCCAAATAAAGGAAGCAATCAATAGCTGACGTTAGTAATTCCACACACTTTGAGCAGACAGATGTTAGGATGGATTACGCAAATCAAAAAGGCTGCTGTTAATTTTTACCGACAAAGCAGCTTAAATTACCCACTTACAGGTTCGGAATCCTCAAACTTTTTACCAGCTAAAAGTTTTTCGATCTGGTGTAGTATACAGCGACAAGAGACCAAAAATGTAATATTATGTAAATGATATTGTCTTATATAAAAAAAATGCATACATACCACCAGAAATTCATTTTTGTCCACTCTTTGATTGCCATCAGTGTCAAACATGTTGAATGCAATGTGGAAGCCTGACTGGGGTTCTACAAAGAAAAATAAGATTAAAATAATTTAATGCAATTTTTCAGCAACTTACTTGTTAAAATTGATAGCAGGAATAAATATTCTGTGTACGAAATTATACCTAAAAGGAAAGTTTAGGTTAAAACTTTTAAATATGCGATCTGGCTCCAAGAGTAAGCCCGCCAAGCATTTAAGCAGTTGTGCTAAAATTGACCGATTGAAGTGTCCTCAGGAACTAATACCAGGCACTATTTCCCTTTCATAGCAGTGTTATGGGATCCGGCAAAATAAGGCATTATTGGGATTTAATTTTATTTTGTTACCTATAAAATGTGTTACTGCTCCCACGTAGTATTTCTTTGTCGGTTTTAAATCAATAATTTTAAAGTAGATTTTTTTCATTTTACAGCACATATCCAATGGATTATGCGATTACTCAGGTGTTTGAGAACTCGTGGATGCACGAATGTGTAACGGAATTAACCGAGGTAAAACATGAAACAAACCTTGCCAAGCGCGAAGAGTGCACAAATAACGGCATACGCAAACCTTATTAGTGCGCGCCTTACTGCAAATCAAATGCCCAGATGCATATGTCAGTTTAACGGCTACACGATTAGTGGCATAGCCAAAATGTGTGTTCCCTATTTTGTTTTCAAATAATTATTTATGCTGACAAATCTATATTTCCTGAAACTATTTGATTGTCTTTGGCTACGTCCATGCAAGATGCTCCATTAAAAAAAATTATGAATGGAAATATCTACAATGAATGGAACCAAAGGGCCTCAGTTCCAAGCATCTGGAAAGTTCCCTACAACGGCAGCCGTAGCCAGAATGGAACGGCAGAGGGTGCGAAGAATCACTGGAAGAGACCAGGCGGCCACACAAAATTCAACATTGCTACGTACAATATTAGATCAATGGTTTCGGAGGACAGAACGGAGGAACTAGAATCCGAACTTGAAAAAATAAAATGGGACATTATGGGCGTAATAAGGCAAGGAAAAGAGGTGAAGGCTACACCAAACTCCAGAAAAGGCCAAAACAACACAAGTCTATGAGGGATAGGCATACTAATACACAGGAAACTGCCAGACAGGGTAAAAATGTTTAAAGTCATATCCGAAAGGGTAATTATGTAACAATACAAATAAATAAACTGGAAACACTAAAGATGATACGCTCCAACAAGCACCGCCAGGGACGAAGAAGTCAGTAAATCCTATACGGATATCTCTGAAGAAATGCATGCAAACAAAAGTCCAAAAGTGATAGTGGTTGGGGACCTCAACTGTAAGATAGAAGGCCAAGTAGACACAGAGGAAAAATACGTAGACAAACACCGGCTAGGCAAATGAAACCCCAAAGGTGCTATGATGGCAATTTTTTTGAAGGAAGAAAGCCTGCACAACGCTCTCAACCCATTTCCATTTCCAGCCCAGATCCATTTCTTTCACAAACGCCACAACCGAAAATGGATCTGGGCATACCCAGGTGGACGTACGTTTAGCCAAATTGACTATATTCTCACAAAGAACATCGATATTGTATAAAATGTCGAGGTACTAAAGAGATTTAAAACCGACAGCGAAATGCGTCTAGCAAAAATTTGAGCAAAGTATTAAAATAACAAACCCGGTACCCTAACAGATAGACATCAAAAAAGTGCAACAAAACCCAAACAAATTCCAAACGGACCTGGAGAAAAAATTATTATTATAAATTATCACAACGACACTAAACCAAGCAGCGGGAGAGAGAAAATGGCAAAGAAAAACATCAGAATCCTTAGCACTTCAATTACGAAGGAAGTCCTAGAAACATCTTCTTCTACTTCTCTCTGTTGATTCCGCACTTGCCTCTGCAATATTTCCTGAAATGTTGACTGCCAGCTGCCTCTCCATATTTTTGGAGATCTTCCGGGTGGACGGATCCCTGCTAGTTTCCTCTCTAGTACAATACGTGATAATCTATCGTCGGCCATTGTCTGAACGTGGTTACACCATTCTCTTCTCCTCCGCATTCTCCATCTCACTACATCCTGTACGTCGCACTGTGCTCTAATGTCAATGTTTCTAACGTGGTATCTTCTTGCTTTCCCCGCTGTTCTTTTCAGTACTGATATTTCGGCGACTCGTAGCATTCTTTTGGTCTTGTTAGTCTCCTCTCTCGATTCTATGCCATATGTCATTATTGGTCTCACGTATAACTTATATATTTTGATCTCACTCCTGTTGCATATACGGATTAGTCCATACAGTTTCCCTTAGACATCCTGATATTATAGCTGATTTGTTAATTTGGATTCTCAGGTCCGTTACCGAGTCTTGATCGCTGGAAATATCTATGCCCAGGTATCAAAATTCCATGACCTGCTCTATTGGTTTCTCATTCCACTACTGATGGTCTTCGTTTTACCTGTGGATATGTCCATATTGAGTTGCTGATTGATCTGCTTGAACTGAAATAACTGTCTGCATGTCATTCTTACTTTCTGCGAATATTGCAGTGTCGTCGGCATGCTGATAGTTCTATTGCTCATTCTGTATACCGAGTTCATGGATGTTACTTCTTCTATGATTTTGTCAATCGGGAAGTGGAATGAAAATGGCCTAAGGCTATCTCCCTGTCTAATTCCTTCTGAAGTGGGGATCTCCAGCTTTGATTTGTGTAATCTTAATAGTGTTAAGAATGTATACCATTGATACTATGTTAGCCGGGGCTTCTTTTTCCCATAGAACTTTTATGGCGTGTTCCAGGGGGACTCTGTCAAATATCTTAGTAAGGTTGACGAAGCAAACAAATGCTGGTGTAAGTAACTCTATTACGTTTTCTTTTATTTGCTTGGTAATGAATATGGCATCTGTTGCTGATGTATCCTTTTTGAATCCTTGTTCTTCCTCTCTGGTTTTTATTTGCTCCTCTAGTTTGCCCTTGAGCAACCCGATAAGCGCTTTTTTAATTTAATTTAATTTAATGACAACTGCCTTCAAAACATCCACCAACTACTTAACTACACGTCAGGTAAAGCCTATACCATGAGCTTCATAAATATGCAGAAATCCCAACATTTTTCCCTTTCTGGAGATTAATGTTTCACTGGTCGTATCCGGGAAGCTTACGATAATTCATTGAAACTTTGCATCTTCGAGGTGGACGATGTCACTGTGATGAGCTGGAACAAGGTTGTTCTTGTGATAATTTATCCAAATGGTACAATTCAGTACTCGACAGAGTTCCACTCAAAACGCTTTGATTTTCTTTATGAACTGGGAGCGCAGGCTGACCAAACTGAGCTGGTTCCTTCTGTCCGATGAAATCGTGTAAATTTGGTAAATCATCTGGCAGACGAATATCAACATAGTTAGTAGAGCGCTTCCATATTTGGTTATAATGACGAACTATAACGTCGTTGTAAATCTTAACTTTGGCCATACACTGACCAATCAACTCATCGAAGTTTTGTTCCATCGATGCGGTTTCCATTCCAAGTTTCCACAGTTACTTTCTCCCCCACCATAAAATTTCGAGTTTTGGTTCCATGATGACGATCGAATTGTTTTTTAAACACATGTGCTGATTGACTTTGATCATTTACAGAATTACATGGTTTAAAAATATGAAATGGAGTTCGGGGTTTACAAGCAAACATGACTTCACTAAGGGATTTACCATCCAAAACAGTTTGCGGTGTATAGCGATAGGTTGTAAATCCAGCGAATCTGAGTCCTTGTCCAATTGACGCAAATAATTTGTAATTTTATGCACGCTAGCTCGTTTTAACCAACAAGCGTCGATATACTTGGTATATAAACTATCCACGACAATAAGGAAAGCATTTCCATTTTGTGGTTCACCAAGATCCATATGAATCTTTGACCAATGTTTCTTCGCGTCAGGCCAGGTACATAATGATACCTTCACAAGATCGTTGCACTGAACTAAAAACGTGCTAGAATCCACAAGGAACCGTGTTTTCTGAGGTTATAATTTCGTTCGCAATAGAAGTATCAAACCGGCACCGCGGCAGTGAGACGCGCAAGCACAATCAGCCAGGACTGGTGTGGACGGTTAAGAAAAAAATATCTGCGTCCGAAAGTTCTACCGCCGAGCGAGTATTCTTGAACATTTTAGGTTAGGACTGTATTAGGCTATGGAGATGTCGTTCCTTCTATATTCAATCAAACACATAAGAACAAACAGAAACTATATTTTGCACGTGGAAACGAGGGAAAGCGCGGTACTGATGAGGTAGTGACTACAGAGCGAGAGCCAAAACCCGGAACTTTACTTTTCGTTCTCTTTTATAGCTGGTTGGCAGGGTTGCCAACGTCGCTCATTGACTTCCCTAAATCTGGTGACTTTTATGTCCTGAGGTTGTTTGCTGGACCGTGTTGCCAGAGGTGCACCACATTACTCCCTCCTCAGTAACGGAGTGGTTTAAATATTTTGACTTACAGTAAAATGTTTATAAAATTGCATGGGAACACAGTTATTGCTATTTGTAGTGCTTAACAATGCAATGCAAATAATACTAATATAAACTACGCTAATACTAAGTTAAATATCAACAATGCACACTTAAAATTATTGTGGGCCTAAGAGGTCAGGCTGAAACGCACTTTTTTATTTTTTGTAATTGTTTTGCATTTGGCGTACGCATGGTCATGTGATGTTGGGTCACTCGGCAGCAGGAATGCTGGCTTGAGGCGAGCGAGTGATAAATTGATTTCCATGTTTTTATTTTTACGGTGAAGTATTTCGGATTTCTTTTGTGCACAGGGAAGGGACCATCGTAAGGAGATTGCAACGACTTTTTAACCATGTCCTTTTTTACGATAACATGTGCACATGTAGTATCAAGTTTGGGGGACTGAAAAATTTTGGGTCACAAATGATTGCTGTCAGGTATTGGCCGAAGAAGTTCCATTTGTCTTTTTAATTCAGCTGTGAAAGACAGTGGGTCGCTTGAGGATTGTGAGGCTTCGAAAAATTCGCCTGGGAGACGTAGTGTGGTTCCGTACACCATTTCTGCTGGAGTAACACCTATATCTTCCCTCACTGTGCTGTGCAGGCCCAGGAGTACAGTGGGCAGGACATCTGTCCAGCGGTGGTTGG